CAGGACCCACCCACACCCTCCCCGTCCCGCCTGCGCTCCACAGGAAGCGCGGGGCTCCAGGGCGCACTGCGGCTTCTGCGACCCGGTCAGCGCCCGGCGGCCGGCAGCAAGTAGTGGGGCCAAGCCGGGTGGTCGGAACGGAAAAGCAGGCAGCACGGCGCAGGTACCGACCTGTGGAGACCGCCATCTTCTCCTGCAGCCCAACGCAGCCGCCCTCACGCACGGACGTGCGCGTCACGTCCGGAGCGCGCCGCCGGTCTGCGTCACGGAGACCCCGCCTCCCGCGGCCGACGCGGCGGCGGCCGGAGCTCCCCGGGGATAGTGACAGCGCCCACGTGGGCAGAAGGACTCAGGCTGTGTCCCCGGGAAACGCAGCGGAAGGAAAGCCCAGGTGGAAGTTGGAAAACAGAGTTGACTCAACTTCCATAGCGTGATAAAAGACAAGCGCAAGACAGGCACCGGTGGCTCACGCCTGTAATCCTAGCTACTCAGGAGGCTGAGATCTGAGGATCGTGGTTCAAAGCCAGCCCGGGCAGGAAAGTCTGTGAGACTCCTATCTCCAATTAAGCACCAAAAAGCTAGAGGTAAAGCCATGGCTCAAGTGGTAGAGTGACAGCCTTGAGCACAAAAGCTAAGGGATAGTGCCAGGCCCTGAGTTCAAGTACGGCTTGACATACTTGACTAGGGCTGGCACAAAAAGAAAAAAAAGTGTACAGTAGGGCTGCGTTCTTCTAGACTTCATTCAGGAGCTGGTGAACAGAGGTGTGGCAAGAAAGAGTAATTTGTGGGGGGTGGGGGCGGGGGGGGGGTTGGGCCTTGGCTTTACAGTCTCATTTTCAAAATTTTTTTCAATCTCTTAGTACGTCCCAAAGGGGAAAATGAAAAATAATGTTTCACATTGATTAAATATGGAAATATATATTTAGACACAGCTAAGTCACACAAAGCATGTTATTAAAACCAACACAAAACATGGACATTGATAATTCTGTGTTAAAAAAAAAAAGATTCAGGCTGGCCACAGGGAGGCTCATGTCTGTAATCTCAACTACTCAGGTGGCTGAGATCTAGAGGATCAAGGTTTGAGGCCAACTGAATAGAAAAGTCCTTAAAACTATTTCCAATTAATCAGTTTTTAAAAAAGCTGTGCTAGAGGAGTGGCTCAAGTAGTAGAGTGCCAGCTGTAATTGGGGGGGGGAGGACGTGTGCAAAAATGAGCAAAAGTTCAAGTCCTTGAATTCAAATCCCAGTGTGTATACATACACACACATGTGCACACACACACACACAGATTCAAAAGACATGGGCATTAGATGGATATAGTAGGGTACATCTGTAATCTCACTCTGGAAACTGAGGCAGAAAAATCATGAGGATCAGGGCCAGTCAGAGCTACATTACAAAGCTCTCCGACTTGAGAATCAACTGAAAAAAAAAATTAGAAGAAAAAATTAGACAAATTTAAGAACCTGTAAGAATTACATCAATTTACTGTGTTTTTCTTTCGTTATTTCGGTAATACTGGGATATGATTAAAATATATATGGCTAGCTTGGTGCTAGTGGCTCACGCCTAAATTCCTTGCTAATTCAGGAGGCTGAGATCTGAGGATTGTGGTTCAAAGATAGCCCAAGCAGGAAAATCTTATCACCAATTAACCACCAAAAAGCCAGAAGTGGGGTTGTGACTCAAGTTGTAGAGCACCAATTTTGAGCAAAAAAGGCTCAGGGAAAGCCAGGGGCTGATGGCTCATGCCTATAATCCCAGCTACTCAGGAGGCTGAGATTGGATGATCATGGTTCAAAGCCAGCCCAGAGGAAAGTCCATGCTGCTCTTTTTTTTTTCTTTCTGGTCAGTTGTGGGGCTTGAACTCTGGGCCTGGGCGCTGAACTTTTCAGCTCAAGGCAAGCGCTCTACCACTTGAGCCACAGTGCCATTTCCTGTTTTCTGGTGGTTTACTGGACATAAGAGTCTCACAGAATTTCCTGCCAAGGCTGGCTTTAAACCACAGTCCTCAGATTTCAGCCTCCTGAGTAGCTAGGATTACAGGCATGACCCATCAATGCCCAGCTTTCAAGCAGAGGGTCAGGGCCCCCTGTGTCGGGAATAAAAAAGGGAGCAGCTTACCAGCTTTGCTTGCTTGCTTGTCAATTTTGGCCAATGACACACCCTTCCGTAGAAGTAAACTTTGCTTTCCTAAGTTCTCTTAGAGTTAGTATCCTTTTTCCTATTTGGTACCAACATTCCAAGGCATATCTTACAATAGGCAGAGTCTGAGGTTGTTAGTCAGCCCTGGAAGACAAACCCAAACTTATCTCTGATTAACCAGCAAAAAGCCAGAAGTGGAGGTGTGACTCAAACGATGAAACATTATCCTTGAGCAGCCAAGAAAGGGCAAAAGGTTTTGAATTCAAGCACAGTACCAGTACGCACACACACACACACACACACACACACACACACATACACACAGAGTATTGGATTTATCTGACCAGGCTGACTTCCAACTGTGACCCTCAGATCTTAGCCTCCAGAATATTTAGGAGCATAGCTCTTTTTTCTGCTCTCAGCAGCATACAGTGAGTGGACCCAAATACACAGCTGCAGCATCTGGCTCTCCAATGTGCTGGAGAGCTATCAGGCTATTTCACATAACTGTCCCTTTTCTCTGAATCCTCAACAACCTCATCCACAACATGGACATATACATCTTCCTACATGTGGTGGTGGTGGTAGTGGTGGTGGTGGTAGTGGTGGTGGTGGTAGTGGTGGTGGTAGTTAATTGGAGACAAGAGTCTCAAGAATCTGACACTGGTGACTCACACTACTCAGGAGGCTGAGATCTGAGGATTAATGTTCAAAACCGCCCTGGCAGGAAAGTCCTTGAGACTCTTTTTCTTTGTGCCAGTCTTGGGGCTTCAACTTGGGACCTGGGCTCTGTCCCTGGGCTTCTTTTACTCAAGACTAGCACTCTACCACTTGAGCCCACAGTGCCACTTCTGGCTTTTTCTGTTAATGTGGTACTGGGGAATTAAGCCCAGGGTGTCATGCATACTGAGTCAAGTCACAATCTTCTGGGACTCAGCCTTGATAGTTGGTAGAATTACAGGTGTGAGTGACCAGAGTTGGCAGATTTCTTGTTTTTTTTTTTTATATCATTAATTTATGCTATTGATGCCAAATGGTGAGAACTGAGTTTGTGTCCTGAGATAGTCAAAGAATGAAGGTCTTGGACAAGTAAGCAGCAAGCAGAAAGTTTTGTTGAAAGTAGGAGACAGAACTCTCTCACAGGAGGGACTCAGAAAGACAGCTATGGAAAAAGTTTCACTTAGAAGTTTTTACATCTGGGAACATTTAGAGGGCCCTCAAAAACAGATTTTAGAAAAATCCGGGCACCAGTGGCTCATGTCTGTAATCCTAGCTACACAGGAGGCTGAAATCTAAGGATTGCAGTTTGAAGCCAATTGGGGCAGGAAAGTCCATGAGATTTTTTTTAACTTCATGAAGCTTCTTTCTTCTTCTTTTATTGTAAAGGTGATATACAGAGGGGTTATATATGTCAAGCACTGAATACATTTCTTTTTGAACAGTGTCACCCCCTCCCTCATTTTTTCCCAATTTTCCCCCTCCTGACCCTCCTTCCCTCAAGTTGTATAGTTCATTTCCAACATAGAATCTAGTGAATATCACTGCTGAATTAGTTCACCCTTTGTACCACATTTCTGTGATTCCCCTTCCCCTTCTCAAAAACAGATAAACTTACAGAAATCAAAAACAGAAAAGGGGGGGAGGAGGGGAAACAAGGGGGGAATGCAAAAAGTAATGTAAAAAAGCCTCTTGTTTTCATTTCTTTTTTCTTTCTTTTTTTTTTTTTTGGTCAGGGGGCCTGAATTCTGGGCCTGGGCGATGTCCCTGAGCTCTTCAGCTCAAGGCTAGTGCTCTACCCCTTGAGCCACAGTGCCACTTCCAGCTTTTTCTGCTTATTTGGTACTGAGGAATCAAATCCAGGGCCTCATGCATGCAAGGCAAACACTCTACCACTGAGTCACCTTCCCAGACCCTTGTTTCCATTTCTTGGAGTTCATTTCAATAAGCATCATTATGATGCTTATGCACATATTATTATATGCACATAGCTATTGAGCCCTTGTGATCCTCTCCTAAGAATATCCTCCTTTGGTCTCACTGTGTGAATGTTTTATGGTCCTGTTTAATTTATCATGTTCAGAGTTTTTGTCTTTTTTTTGTAATTTTTTGTCTTTTACTCTCTGTTGGGTTTTGTCTTTTACTATCTGTTGGGTTTATATATATATGTATATGTAGAGAGAGAGGGGGCCACATTCTAATTATTATAAATGAGGAAAGCCATGGAGACTATGTTTCTTTGGGTCTAGCTTACTTCCCTTAATGAGCTTTAAGTTTTTCTATTTCCTTAATAGTGGGGCAATGTCATTCTTTATGATGGAAGCATAGGATTCCATTGTATATATATATACCACAATTTCTTGATCCATTCATCTACTAAGGGGCATCTGGGTTGGTTCCATATCTTGGCTATGGTGAGTAATGCTGCAATAAATATGGTTATGCTGGTAGCTTTATTGTGGCTTTGTTTGTGATCATTTGGGTAAATGCATATGAGTGAGGTTGCTGGGTCATAGGGGAGCTCTATGTTTAGTCTTTTGAGGAACCTCAATGCTGCTTTCCAGAGTGGCTAAACAAGCTTACACTCCCATCAACAGTGTAGTAGCGTGTTCCCTTTGGCCACATCCCTGCCAGCATTTCTTATTGTTAGTTTTCTTGATAATGGCCATTCTAACTGAGGTGAGGAGGAATCTCAATGTTTTGATTTGCATTTCTTTTATGGCCAAAGATGTTCAACATCTCTTTATGTGTCTCCTGGTCCATGAGACTCTTATCTCCAATTAACTACCAAAAGAGGAAGAAGTGGAGATGTGGCTCAAATGGTAGAGCTCTAGTCTTAAGGGAAAAAGCTCAGTGCCTAGGCCCTGAGTTCAAGCATCAGGACTGGCACAAAACAAAAACAAAATCGAAAAACAGTTCTTAGACTGGTGAGTGCTTTCTTTCCATATAGGATCATGGAAACAAGGACTCAGTGTCATGTCCTCCCATTTTTGTCCTTTTGTGTTTGTTCAACAAGTCTTTCTACTTCCTTGTTCCCTTTTGCCTTCTGTCTCCATTAAGTTGCTCTGTGGGTTTTATTAGCTTAACCTGC